CAGACCTGACCAGAGCTTTCAATAGAGGAATCTCAAATGGCCAAGATACAAAGAAAATGTTCAATATCCTTAGTCACCAGGGAAATGCAAATCAAAACGACTTTGAGATTCCGTTTTACACCCGTCAGAATAACTAAGATCAAGAACACAGATGGCAGTTCATGCTAGGGAGGATGGGGAAAACTCCTCCATTGCTGGTGGGAGTACACACCTTTACAGCCTCTATGGAAATCAGTGTGGTGGTTCCTCAGGACCCAGCTCTACTATTCTTAGGCATATGCCAAGACTCTACATCCTACTTCAGAGACAGGTGCTCATTCATATTCATCGCTGCCCTCTTCACAACAGCCGGAACTGAGGAACAGTACAGATGCTCCTCATCTTTAGAATGGATAAAGAAAATGGGGTACATTCACACAGTGGAAAATACCATTCAGCTGTTAAAAAAAAAATGGATAGAACTAGAAAAACCCATCCTGAGTAAGGCAACCCAGACCCAAAAGAGACAAATACGGTAGGTTTTCTCTTGGCTTTCAAGCCTTCAAAAGGCGTGCTACAATCCACATGACCACTGACATTAGGTATAGAGGAAGACACTCTGGGGAGGGAGAATCTTCCAAAGAATGAGAAATAGAATATATAGGGGAGACTAGCATGGGAGCATATGAGACAAAATGTCTCTAGAATTCCACTGAGTTTGTTTATGTTAGCCATTTACTGCTGAACCTGGGGCCTACCCTTAAGGGGGGTTAATACATCCAGTATATTCCGGTTTCTGATGTTGTGATTTTATGGGTTTTGCCTTTGCGTATGTGCCTGTGTGTTTCTTGTGTGTTTTTTTTTTAATTGTTTCTGTTTATTTGCCTGTTTCTTTTTCAAAGTGTGCTTGTGTGTGTGTGTGTGTGTGTGTGTGTGTGTGTGTGTGTGAGAAGTTGCACGAGGGGAGAGGTGGGGTGGAGAGAATCTGAGAGGAGTCAGGGAGGGAAAACTGATTCGAATATATTTTATGAAAAAAATACATTTCAATAAAAAGACTCAGTCCGTAAAATCTGTGGTACCAGAAAGTAAAATTTTTAGCTAAAAAAAAAAAAAAAAAAAATACAGAACACAAGGATCATTAAAGGGGCCCCTGATGGTTTATAGCCTTAGACAACTGAATCACAAAATAAATGTTGGTAATAGAGTCCAATGAAGAGACTAAAACAGATTCCCTGAGGTCAGAGCAACATGAGTTAATGGAGAAGGGAAAGTTCTTCTTGATACAATTAAAATTTATAGGAAAATGATGGAAGTTTGGGAAACATCACAGAAGTGTCAGGCAAAGCCCAGCGATGTGTGCAAATGTTCCCATGAATGGCTGAAGGTCTGATATTTTAGAACAGGAATGCTACCCAGCACTATCTTTTGAGCCGGACCACCTTCATAAGAGCAAATGTTTGTCTGCAAAAGATCATCGCAGTGGGCTGGTTGACTGCTGGCATGCCCTCATAAAAGGGGATGGAGCAGGCCAGGTCCCTCGTATCTGAGTATCCAGCCATGCCCCGCAGTCAGGTGTATGCAATTCTTTCCTAGTTGCACGTGGCCTGGGGGTTCTGGGTAAGCACTAGAGCATGTAGGCTGAGGGGTTAAGCAGCTTGCCGGAAGCCATCTTCCATGCTGGGGGAAGACTTTCCAATGGGATTACTTTGGGGGTTGCTCATGTCCAGGTAGGTAACCCCTTTCCCACGTTCTATAAATAAGCCCAATATATCCATTGGTTCTCCAGGGTGAACTTTAGTGAAATCAAACTTGGCTTTGTTATTGGGACCTCATGAAGGGGTATATAACTGTTCACAGCCTCCCGCCAGTAGGGAGAAAACTCTTGAATTGGGGGAGGAATCTGAATATTGTGGTTTTTTTTTTAAACAATCTTAAAAATGTGTGTATGCATGTGTGTGTGTGTGTGTGTGTGTGTGTGTGTGTGTGTGTGCAAGCCATGTCACCTGTATGGACAGCCTGTAGGCGTCAGTCCTCTTCTACCACAATATGGAGCGCATGGATTGCAATCAGATGGTAAGGCCTGGCATCAAACACCTTTACCATTTCTCCGCCCAATGACTTCAGTTTAATTAAACACCTATCAAACCCAAATTGAAGGCATTCTACAAAACAGCGGGCTATTCTAAAACCAAACCAAACCAAAACCAGCCACGTGTCCCAGGTGAAAGAGGGGTACGTAGACATGACAACAGGACATGCACGCCTGGACTGGACCCCAATTTAAGTAGGAGGGTGTTAGGACAACTGACAAGGCTGTACCTTTGCTCACAAGCATGACATCATCAGCGAGCCGGGCGCAGTCGTTCACACACCTTTAATCCCAGCACTCAGGAAGCAGAGGCAGGCAGATCTCTGCGAGTTCGGGGCCAGCCTGGTCTACAGAGGGAGTCCAGGAAAGCCAAGGCCACACAGAGAAACCCTATCTTGAAAAACAAAACAGACATTCCCAGTGGCACAGAGGGGAGCCAGTGTTCCTGGAGCTCACTGCTGTTGGAATTTGTTTAATTTATTAAGGCAGCCATACATCTTATAATGTGCTCCTTACCTACAGCCAGCTCCCACAAACCCAGGGTCTAGCCACTCGCATTACACAGATTAAAAACTAATTCTGAGACTCAAGGATTTGCTCCAAAGTGGTCAGCCGGTAAGTGAAGGCAAAGATTACATCTATCTGTGTGACTGCAATACATTTCATCATGGCGCTGATAAAAAACAAACAAACAAACAAACAAACGCCTTCCCTCATTAAAGTTCTCAAAAGGAACCATCACACATCTAAGCATTCTGTCACAAAAAGGCTGGAAAAAAAAAACTTACCAAAATTCAAGGCTAGAGGCCTGCTGCCAGCACATAGCCATCTGACGGTGGAAACTGCTCGGGTTTTGTTTTGTTTCTGGGTTTTTGAGAGAGATACTTGCTATGCAACCCTGCTGGATTCAAACTTGGGGCGATCTTCCTGCCATAGCTTCCTGACCATTGGGCAACAGGTGTAGGTAAGAGGGGAAAAAAACAGGAAACAGCCACACTGGCTGGTCAGCCTTTTGAGTGTATGACAACACTCCCACGTCTCTCCTCCAACTTCCTTCCTTCCCGTCCCTCACCATTCCCGCCCTTTTTAGCACAGCACTTTCAAGTACACGCTCAGAACGTAAGCTACCCTATATGGGAGACAAATAAGCCAACGTTACATAAGAAGTCTACTCTGCTCTATCGGGCCGTCTTTGAGAGGGGGAAACACCCCAGAGACTGTGCTAACACATAATAAACTGCTTTCTCTAAAAGAGAGCCTTGGTCTCTGATGAGAAAGACTATACCACCACCACAAGGCACAGTCCATGAAATTGTTCATTTAATAACCCATTAGAAAGTTTATAGACTGGAGAGACAGCTCAATTGATAAAGCACTTGCCTAGCATGTCAGGCCCTCAGTACAATCCCCAGAACTGCAAGAAAGCAAAGAACTGCTGAGCCGCTGGCCAAGAAAGTAAGTTTAAGCAGCTTGAAAGGTTGGGGCAGAAACATCATGAATTCAAGGTCAGTCTCAGCTATAGATAGCATGTTGGAAGGCAGCTTGAACGACATGAGACCCTGTCTCAAGACAAAAGGCTCAGGAGGCTGGCCACGGTGGCACTCAGCTACAATCCCAGCAACTCAGGGCTCAGCCTGGATCACATAACCTAGCAGAGATCACAGAATGAGGCCGTTGCCTCAGAAAAACCATTCAGAGCTTCTGATAAATTTGGGGGTGGGGTGTGAAAGAAAAAGACATAGCCAGAGGAAATAAAAAATTGATTATGCTATCGTGGTCGTGTCAACAATACTCACCACACACAGAATCTGAAATGTTTTATAAAGCGGGGATAGCCTGTCAGCACGATGGACAATAGTCCTCCCTGAGTCTGCCCATCCTGCCTTGCCTCTCACAGTCTCTGTGATTTATGGTCCTGAACAAATTAGACTTAATTTCAGAGCAACTCATCAGCCACAGGTATAATCATCTTGGCAGAACATTTCTTCTAATTAATTGCTTTCTGCCTAATGTAGAGGGATGCCATGTACCCTATGTGGGTTAGTATAGCCATGTAATTCATTTTTCTTTCCCTAGAACTCAGGTTCATCCGTTTTAAATTCCAAAGACATTGGTTTACTTCATATTTAACCATAACAGTTCAGCTTCCACGGCAAAGCTTATGTCAGATATTTGTGGAAAAAAAAAGAATTGAATCTAAGTACCTTGCAGTATGAGAGATTCCTGATGCTGTCAGGACACAGGTCCTGTCCGGTACCCAAGGCTCAGGGTGGGAACTGTTTTGGGGGTAGGCAGCCAGATGACTTGACTCCAATCTCCAGAAACTTGGTGAACGGTTAAGCACGCAGAACACTTGTGTGGCTTTAGGACAGTGTGGACTTTCTCTCCATAAAGCTATCAACTTCACTCTTGCTTAACTTTGGTAAGAGGCAAAAGGAAAAAGATTTCCTTTGCTGAGTGGAAACTGAACCTATAACTGTCGGAAACATGTGTCAAAAAATACTGTCCGTTTTCAAAGCTGTCATGCTCGGTGTTGCCTAGAAATGAGCTGACGATTGTTTCTAAAGAGGCAGACTCAGCTCCAACTAAACTAAGGAGGACTTCTGCTTCATGGACGGCTGCTACAGAACACAAACATGAAATTAAAATTTCAAATGCATGTGTTTTAAGAAATAAAACTGTAACCATAATTCCTTACCTTAGAAAGCCCTTTATTTTCTAACTAAGTGCCTGTTCATCTTTTAAAATGTTACAGTACAATTTAAGCCTTTCCTACATGGTCAAGTGTGAATTTATCATATATGCTGCACAAGTTCGGTAACGGGAATGGCAATTAGAACACCTTCCTACATTGGCACAAATTCTCGGGAGGCAATGGGAAAAAAGCAAATGGAAAAAGCAGCATGAACCCTTTGTAGAATAAAACAGCCAGTCCTGGTGAAATAACGGCCTGTTTAATTAGTTTTTTATAACATACATTTAGAGTTGCAATGACACAGAGTTTGAATTATTAACTTTATTTGTCATTCTGTATAGATATTGGTCCATTTCCACATGAACAATAGCAACCATCCACTTCCGTGTAATAGTCTACAAAATGAAGCTGTACCACACACAAGCCAGAGTAACTTCACAGGGAGAAAGTTATGGAAATACACATATTTTATATTCATGCTTCAAGATATCCCCCACAGATTTGTTTTTATAGATCTAATCACAGGCATTTATACTCCACAAAGCTTGTCTCTTCTGAAACCAACATAGTATTTTAAATATTTCTAATATCTCTACTAAACCACACGATTAGCAAACTTGCAGAAGAGATTAAAAACAGCTAGCCTACCAATGATGTACATTTCCAGAACTAAGCGATTGTATAAGCATATGCAGTATTTTTGGGCTGCTCTTAGTTAAAATCTTTCCTCCTGTCTCAGAGATATTTACATCAGATTTAGACATTTACAAATGGTTCATAGTGAATAACAGCTCAACTAGGACTTATCTAGCCTGTGCAAGGAACTCAAGCATTTGAAAGCTTCTCTAAGAAAACCCAGTGCATTCTCCAATATGAACAATACAACTATTCTAAGTGGTTTACATTTCTTCCAGTGCAGGTTTCCAAATATATTAAATGGAATGAAATTACATTAAATGGCTATGTCAACAATATTGGAGCATATTATGGAATCTATACCACAATTCATTTTGTTAACATATACTCTAAAGAAACCACGGGCACACACAAAATAGAGAACAAAATCTATGTTTTTTTTTTTTAATAAATTTAAGGTATACTGTCTACTTTAAACCATATTGAAAAGATATACTTGAACAAAACAGCCAATCACCAAACCTGATGTTTAAGTCTAGCATAAGGAAAATTCAATCCATTCGAATCTTTTGGTTTGTCATCCTATAAATGATGCTATCGTATCCAGGATCCATATTCCAAAAACTGTAAGAGGTGACAATCACAGCCAAGGCTAAGGTGACCATAATCCACAGCACCAAGTTGAAAACCACTGAATATTCCAAGTTATACTTATATGCAAGGTTATAGGGTGTTGCAGCGGTCTACAATGAAGAAGGGAGAAAATATCAAGAGGGAAGCACTTTGACATTTGACGCTGACTTACTGGCTATGGTTTGCTGTCTAACGGATGCTTACGACTTCCTAAGTGGAGGAAAAGCTACCTATCCACCCATGGAGGAGCCAGGGGCAGCTGCTTCCTGGAGAAGACAACTGGCACGGCTGCCAAAAAAAAACAAAACAAAAAACAAAAACAAAACAAAAAACAAACAAACAAAAAAAACAAGGTCCAGCTTCGTGAGAAGAGTCAGTGGTGACCAGTGCAACTGAAGGTTTGCGGATCCTATGACCCAGTAAGCCCAGCCCCTAACAAAAATGTCTCTATTTGGACCAGGAGATGTGCAAAAGTATCTTTAATACAATGGACAACTGTGGCATGTTCAGACAGCAGAGCACAGAGCAGTGAAGTGACTCAGCTCCAGTAGTTTTTTTTTTTTTTTTTTTTTGAGACAGGGTTTCTCTGTGTAGCCCTGGCTGTCCTGGACTCCCTCTGTAGATCAGGCTGGCCTAGAACACACAGAGATCTGCCTGCCTCTGCCTCCTGAGTGCTAGGATTAAAGGTATGCACCACCACCACCTAGCTTCCAGTGATTTTTTGCGGGGGGGGGGGTGTTTGGAGGGTTTCAAGGCAGGGTTTCTCTGTGTAGTCTTGACTGTCCTGGACTCACTTTGTAGACCAGAGTAGCCTTGAACTCACAGAGATCTTCCTGCCTCTGCTTCCCTGACTATTGGGATTATGCCACCACAACCGGCTTCCAGTGATAATTTTTAAAAACAACAATGAACAAAGAAGATCAAAACCATGTATGGTTCCATTTGTACAGAATTCAAACCTGGGTAAAATGAAACACTGTTTTAAGACCAAATAGGCTGGGCACAGTCATGTACACCTTTAATCCCAGCACTCAGGAGGCAGAATCAGGAGGATTTCTGAGTTTGAGGCCAGCTTGGTCTACAATAGTGAGTTCCAGGACAGCCAGGACTATATAGGTAGACCCTGTTACAAAAAACAAACAAACAAACAAACAAACAAACAAACAAAAAATATAAAAATAAAATTCCATACATATATAGTCAAAGTATAAAGGAAGGAAATGATTCACAGAGTACTGAGGATAGCAGGATAAGGAGGTGGCCTAGTGGTAGAGACTTGCCTACGAATGCCTGAAGATCTGGTTCCATCTCCAGCACCATTTTCTTAAAAAAGTGACAAACTCAAGAGAAAAATTCCTCTGTGCACAGGGGACAGCAGAGGGATAAGATAAGGAGGGCTGCTGAGAACAAGCATCCTTGTTGGTATAATGTTCTTGAGGAATATATACAATTTACTCTTGTTCATTCAAATGCTGATTTCTCTGCCCACTATCTGGTTTCAATCCAGACATTGCATTGTGATGCTTATTCTAAGCATCACCTGTCTCAGGTGTGTGTAAACATGCCACTATTTGTTCTCTAAATTGTCAATAAAACAATCAGCCACATTGCTGAGCTGTGGGACATCCTGGTCCGGAGTAGGAGGAAGAGGAAGGAAGCAGGAGAGAGGAGAATCTGGAAGAGAGGACTTGGAACCATGTGGAGAAATGAACCGGACCTAAGATATCATTAAAAGCAAGTATAATGTGGGGAATCTGAATGAGAGGAACTTGGAGGGACTTGGAGGTTTACGATGGAGTAACTATTGCCCAGCATTGTGATCTAGGTTAATTAAATAAATCCTAGTCTCCGTGTGGTGATTTGGGTATACAGCTGTTTAGGAATAACTGCTGCTTTACTAAAAGATAAATCAATAATAAATATTTATAACCCACAACACATCCTCTCTCAAGTGATACAGTATTAATATTTACTCTTCAATTATATTAAAGGTTACCTACCTAAAAACTGTAGGTGTGGCCTACTTAAAGTGGAAAACATACGATGTTTCAACTGTCTTTTCCGTGTTGAAGTGGTGTATACAAGCCCTCCACATGAGGGAGGGATGGGGTTAATTCCTTCTCTACACGGTCTGAAAAGCTGAATTTATTCAGCTTTTCATTTGGGATATGCCAATCACTCTGGCTAGAGAGGAGGCTGGGACTAGGGAAGCTATGGAGCATCTGGCTTTGAACCTACACACAGTGAGACACCGCAGGTCAATTTCAGGCAGAAAGTAAGGGACAGGATCAGATTTGCCTTATAAACAAAAATAAAACTTAGCCTGGTGTGGTAGTGGCGGTGGCAGCACATACCTTTAATCCCAGCACTTGGGAGGCAAAAACAGGCCAATCTCTATGAGTTCCAGGACAGCCTGGTCTACAGAGGGACTCCGGGTTAGGCAAGGCTACACAGTGAGACCCTGTGTCACCACGAGAAACATAGATAACTGATGATAGTGCAGAGGATGATGGGGAAAGGACCAGCGAGAACGTAGGGAGACAAGGTGGGAGACATGAGTGCAAGGTGCATCTGGCGAGTTCCTCTAGCACCAGTGCTTGGCACGGTGTGCATACTAAGCGACAGGTTGTTAAGTTGTTGCTGCTGTGTTTATTTTTATTTTCCCATGCTAAAGAACACGGCTAGAGCCTGTATACACTTGCTCTTCTTTCTTGCTCTTCTCTTTCTCTTTCTTTCTTTCTTTCTTTCTTTCTTTCTTTCTTTCTTTCTTTCTTTCTTTCTTTCTCTCTCTCTCTCTCTCTCTCTCTCTCTCTCTCTCTCTTTCCCTCCCTCCCTCCCTCCCTCCCTCCCTTCCTTCCTTCCTTCCTTCCTTCCTTCCTTCCTTCCTTCCTTCCTTCCTTCCTTTTCTTGTTTGAGATGGCTGATTTGCTATCCACCCCTGGCTGGCATGTATTTTACAATCCTCCTGCCTCCACCTACAGAAATCTGGGGTTGCATATGTGTGCCCTCATGCCTGGCTCAATTCCTTAAACTCTTACCAATGCTCAAAGTAACAGAAGATTTCCACTGGAAGTGGTATCAACTGGAAGACAGAAAAGGAGCCGATGGGCCCACAGATATGTGCATTCCCCTGTGGGGACCTCAAAGTTGACACAAAGGAGTTCCTACCCTTAAGTAGCTCTTTCTTGGATTTATGTATATTTGCTAAATCAGTTCCCTTTCACATGCGGTTTTGAGTGTATTATGTATTACACAGAATTATTTGGTCCTCACTACAACCTAATCTGCGACCATCACATACTCAGAAGAAACCTCACATGGGCGCCTTTGTCCTTTGTAAAGTAGGAGACACCAGTATCCAAAAATGATATTCTAAGGAATGGTTTGTACCCCAAATACAGACAATCTCATTCACCAATATTCTAAATGTCATCTTATGGGCAACGCCCATATGTTATTTGATGTTCTTACAGGCTAATTGTGATGTTTGTTGCTTTAGCCATCTGAAACTCTATGGTCAATTAGCCCTTTTTTAAACCCTTTCTTTGAGTTTGTATTTGGTGGGCTAGCTGTGGGGGTCCCCAGTGCACTGCACACTGAGGGCACGGACTAGCGGAGTTCTTACATTGACTTCAGCTGGGGAACAGAGACCTGCTAGTCATGTGGGAGTGGTTTTATGTTGACTTCTTGCTTGGAGGCTTCCTAGGCAGTACAAATTTAAGCCTCAAATCCACACAAAGGGAGCCCTGTGGTTAACAACGCCCTGGGAAGGAGCCCCCACCTCTCCGCACATAGGGACCAAAGAGTGCCTTTCTGTTTCCCTTTGCTGGTGGGCAAACTATCACTATTCCCTTCTACTGAGGGTACAGCCCTTTCTGCCTCCCTAACTTTATAAGGAGGTACTGGTTCTAACCTCACAGACAGCCAATGCCTCTTGGTAATGCAAGTGGCAGCCTACTTAACTATAGGTTTCTCCTCTTTTCTTTGGAGAAATAAAAGATTTGAGCTATGTACTTGAAACTGTTGATTTTTTTATCCAGCACTTCTAAAGGCTTAATAGTGGAAACTGAGGAGGCAGGGAGAAAGGAGTCCAGGCTTTAGGTGTTTGGCATTTTTTTTTTGATACATTTGCTATGTTGCCCAACCTGGCTTTGAACTCACACCAATCCTCCTGCCTCAGCTTTCTGAATGTTTGCACCATCATACCTGACTGAAATACAGTCTTAAACAGATAACCCTTCTATGACAGTTCCATCTGTAAGGCAACAACCTCTAGCCTGCCATCTCTAGCTTGTCTTAAATCGGTACTGGCTATAACCTTTTTACTCCAGGTCTTCCATCGATCCTTAAGACTGAGCACGGAGGACCCTGTAAATGGGCCTAAAGGGACAGGCCTACAAACTACTGTCTGTCTGATGGCAGCAAGTGGTGGGGCCAACAGTTAAGTAATTTTTGTTTTTCTTAGACGAAGTCTCATGCAGCCCAACCCAGGTTAGCTACTAGCCTCCTCTGTAGGTCCTGCTTCTACCTCCCAAAGGCTGGTCTTACAGGTGTGAACTCCTCTGCAAGTCTAGTAACCTTTTCAATGGTGTGCTGCTATGGAGTAGCTGTACCACATCCCCACCACTGCCAGTGAGTTGAGGCGCTCTCTCTCTCGCTCTCTCTCTATCTCTCTCTGTGTGTGTGTGTGTGTGTGTATGAACCAGGTACCCAGACACACAATTTTACCATGGCCATCAAGCTCCTCTCTGACCCTCAGTGTCAGTGGGGTACTTCCTAATGCTGCGATCCTTTAATACAGTTCCTGGCGCTGTGGCGGTACTGTCAATTTGCTTCTCTTTTGAACCAAAATGGTTTTTCAATGGTCTTAGGCCACTCCTGTGAAAGGGTCATTCAACCACCAAAGGGGCCATGACTTTTCAGTCAAAGCAAGATCCATACTGAAACACTGATCAGCTAAATCAAAGTTATAAAGAGGTGTAGACAGAGGGTCCCAGAAACTGAGGTACCAGGTCACAAAAATAACGTGTCTCTAGAAGAGCAGAATCCATAGGCTGAGAGAGGCATTCTACTCCCTCCCATCAACTTCCAATGGTTCCTTAACATTAATTACCTTACCAGCACTGACAGGCTTACTTTCACTCCCAGCTCAGAATTTTCTATTATCTTATGTCAAGCCCAAGGTAGGAAACCTGAGTTTACCTAAGCGTATTCATGTCACTTATAGGTAATGTAGAATTTTATCCTTTCATTTTTCTGTCCCCTCCCCCCAGTTGGGGGGGGGGCGGTTATTGAGACAGTGTCTCATATAACCCACCCAGGCTGATCTCAAACTCATTATGTAGTCAAGCATGACCTTGAATTCCTGAGCCTCCTGTCTTTACTTCCCAAGAGCTAGGACTATAGACCTACACCACCACACTCAGCTTCAGGAGTTCTGATTTTTTAATTACATCTTACTTAGAGTGTGTATGTAGGTAAGCGTGTGGGTGTAGAAGTCAGAGGACAATTTCCAAGAGTCCCTCTGCCTCCTTCTACCATGTGGGTCCTGAGAGTTGAACTCAGGTCATCGGGTTTGGCAGCACGTGTCTTTACCCACTGAGCCACCTTGCCAGCAGCCCAGGGTCTTAATTCTTTAGAGGAAGGCAATTTTGGTTTTAAAGCAGGATCTAAAAACAGACTCACCTCTTGTTTTGACTCAAGGATGGTCCTTGACTTCCTCACAAGGGATGTGTCGAATGACTTGACAGTCACTAACTCGACTACTGCGTTTCCACCATATAGACTGTACATGTCATCTGCAAACTGAGAGTCGGTTATTGGCATTATGATTAATGGCGAAATACATGTTTTGTTTAACATTTCTATTGTCAGTTAACAAAAGTTCGATAAAACTGACCTTTGGTAGTCACAGGGAACTGGTTCTGCAACTTTTCACACACTCTGAACTATGTACTCTTATATGAAATGGCATTGTATTTGTATAGAACCTATGCGTAGCATGCTGTATCGTATGCCCCAGTTCATCTCGTCACCTCTCTCTATGTATGTATACATACATACACACCACTGAACACTATTGAAATGCTGTGTGGATGGTTGTTATACTATATGGATTAGGGACTAATGACTATATCAATTAGGGACGACTGACAAGAATTATGGCTATAAATGTTATATACAAGGTATTGTTTGAAAATATATACATTGCACAATGGATAAATTAGCGAGTTAACATACACACTAACTTACATACTGATCATTTTGTGTCTGGTAAAATTATTTGTAGCTTTCTAAATAATCACATATTATATAGTATTAATACATATTAATACAAAGATATATTTAATGTAGTGTCTGAAATAGAAAAGCCTTTCAGGTTTGCTTATGTTCAAATATTCAGTAAAGAGTTAAGCCTTAATATACACTCAAACATTTAAATAAAATTAGAGACTGAACTTGATGGTATATAAATCGGGGGATTGAAAGCAGAAAGGGGAAATGAAGAAATCTGCCTAAGTGGTCTTTTGTTAATTGTGGACCTCACAGTAAAGAGCTATATTTTCCATTTATTTAAACATAGTTAAAGCAGTATGCTTTAGGATATATATACATATATATATATATGTGTGTGTGTGTACATATATGTATATATTCTGAATATATATATATATATATATATTCAGAACACGTAATGCTGCCACTGCTAGCACTGGAAAGAGATTCCAAACAGACTTTTTTGAAGTTGAGGCTGATTGTGATCTTTTTGTGAGAGGGTCTTACCACTCGTCCAGGTAGGCCTCAAACCTATGATCTTCCCGCCTTTAACTCCGAATGCTGGGATTACAGATCCAAGTGCTGGGATTATAGACATATGCCACCGTACCACCCAATGTGCATGTCTGAGCCTACACCATTCTTCTGTTGTTAGCCTGGTATTGCTTGGCATTGAACTTAGGGCCTCACACATGCTAGGTAAGAACTCTAACCATGAGTTATCCTCCCAACCCCACCCCTACACTATTCTTAGACATAGTAACTGGAGAACCTTCAAACAACTCAAGACTGCATCACCTGGACTGGGGATGTGTCTCAGTGGTTGAGGGCTTGCTTGACTAGCATGTGGACAGAACTTCCCCCCTTGTTCAAAGAAAAAAAAGAAAAGACTTCCATCAACAGCATTCCTCAAAAGATCTTTCCATCAAGAGACTAAAATGGTTGCTCATATAGCAACCCCTCTAGTAACAACTGCTATGTACCTTTTGGAGGGCATCGACCAGAATCCTAGAAGCATCCCTGAATTGTTCAGAGTCTTCCCCATAACGCTTCCCCAGTTCATCCAAACCTGCCAGCTCCAGTGAATACAAGTCAGGAGAATGATCCTTGGCCAGATGCTTATGTCGAGACAGCTTAGAACAAACGAACAGAACAAATGAGATGTCAAATACAACCAAGTGAAGTTTTACACCTGAATAAATTACACGGCCATAGAACCACACCAGCGCACCACAGCCCCAAAACAGTTGAAAACAGAAGCCAAGGGAACTTCCTTAAACGAGTTTTTGATGAACTCAATATAAATCTCATTGCTTAGTTTCAAAAGCTTAGATGTGAGATGAGGCATGAAGCAGTCACTGGTTGGACTGACAGGGTGCCAGGAATTCATGAACTATCAGTGTCTTCCCCCTGCATATCCTCTCAGACCACCTCACTGGACCCCAGCACTAAGAAAACCCTGATAAACCCTTGAACCAAGCCCTGATAAAAAGGCTTGAGAAACCACTTCAGAAGCGAGCAGACAACTAAGAAGATCTATTTTAGTCATAAGGATGATTTTTAAAAAGCACTCACTAAAAGATAACTTGCAGATAGTTTTTTTTCCCCTTTTCAACTTGGTTAACACTATTCATATTCCAAACCGCTCACTGTTCCTATTTTTTGACGCACAGCTATACATATAGGAATTGAGTCTTGATGTCTGACAAGGGATAGATGGCCAAATTACAACTACAGCCAGGGAAGTTTCGGTCCCAGGCCTATCTTCTATGAGGATTTATGACCTCCCCTGAAGGCAGAAATGCAAAAGGAATGGTCACGAGGCAGAGTTCATTTCCACCACCACCACCATTTTCTCCGTTTCATAAATCTGGGGCATATTTAAACTTTTCAACTGGCCTCATTACCATTTAAATATTTTCAGGGAACCAAAACAGACAGAACTTGAAAGTTGGAGCAGCCTACTTACCAAACTCGAGATATCATGCAGCACTTGCAGTTCAGAAAGAAAGAGCAGGTCAACCTTCACAGACCAAAAAGTGGGCATTACTTTAAATACACAGCAGAGATCCGTACTGCCATTTGTGAAGCAAATACAACATTACAAATACTAATCAAGTAAACTTGTATTATTTTCCTCCCTTTGGTAGATTCACTATAATTGAACTGAGGCAGCTCAATGGCAGATAATTGCTTAGTATGTGCAAGGCCCTGGACTCAAGGCCCAGCACCAGAAAAAGATGCATATAAAACACAATTTCATAACGAAAAGGTGATGGTCACTCCCTAGTACAGTAACTACACTCAACAGCTCTACTTCTGCTGAAACCATGCCTTCGGTTTTCCCTCAGGGGACCAAGGGAACCTGCCATATCAAGAGCCCACCAGTGGACGAGTTTACTTAACTTGCCTTGAACACTTTCTAAAGCGGAGAATTAAAAATGGTGGTTCCCAGAACACCACAATAGCTATAAAAGACAAGAGCCAAAAGTAGGGATGACTGTCAGGCATGGTAGTGCATGCCTTTAACCCCAGTACCTAAGAAGGAGAGGCAGGCAGCTCTCCATGAGTCTAAGGTCAGCCTCATCCACACAGTAAATTCCAGGCCAGCCAGGGCTATATAGTGAGTCTGTATCCAAAAAAAAAGAAAAAAAAAAAGTAGGAGTGTCTCTCTACTGCAGCATCCTGAGTATATAAAAAAACTGTGACTCCGTATTAGCAACAGCTGTGAATGAATAATGGCATTAGGTCATCAGGTCTGTACAGTTCAACCAAGAAGACTGGTTTGTAGCCTGTCTGGAACTACTGGAACACTGGTAGGAAGGAGAACGTACCAGTATTGACTGGAGTATAACTCGGACAAGGTTTTTATTCATGAGCACTGTGACAGCAGAAGGAAGAATGTACTCTCGCGGTGCCCAGTCTTTCATTTTCTACAGCTTCCCATCTTGCTAAGGTTTCGGGTAGCATGCGGAACAGGAATGTAACAATGACATTTCTTTATTCATTCAGCAACTGAACCACTTACTTCATTATTCCTACTTAGGGAATTGAGAGGAAGTGAGTTGAGAACGGAGTTTTCTTGGAACAGGCGATTACGAAGCTGCCGTAATGTGACTGAAAGGTCTTCAAAAACGGAATTTGCTTTCCCCACCATATACACTCTCTGCAAGAAGAAGCCAGAACTCTATGTTAGCTGCTTTCTATGGATTCATTCCTACATACAGACACTTGATAGCATTTTTTCATACAACTCTTTTAAAGCTGTCATTAAATAACACTTCTTTATAAGGATTTTAAAGTAAAAACATCGTTGCTTACCTCCTCACTGGGAGCCAACTGTAAAACGACAGGAGTTTCCTCAGAAAATAAGGAGTGAATGGAATTTGCAACACTGTCAAGACTAAAAGGGACCGCCTGAAATGCAAGAGTAAAACTGTAATTATATTTTGAAACGAAGTGGAGAGAAAGTCATCCAGACAGATAAGCAAGCAGCACCAGGAGGACCCACAGGAGGAATAAGCATTTCACATTATTATTGATATACTGTGTATATTAATGGGTTTCATTTTGATATTCAGGCTTCCATATATGCTTTGAACATGAGATCATTTTTTTTTTTTTACCATACTAATATCCTTCACTCTTCCCTCTCTCCTCCTTACCCCCAGGTTCTTCTCTAGTCCCCCTATTATTTTTTGGTTGTCTCTTTTCTTTTTGAATTCTGGTTTCTATATGAAAGAAAACATGTAATATTTGGCTTTCAGAGCCTGGCTTGTTTCACTTAACATAACTGTTTTTTGCTTTACTCATTTTCTCCCCTTGCAAGTGACATGATTTTTCATTCTTCTTTATGGCTTCACATAAAATTCACCAGAATTGTTATATGATATCTTTTCATACAATATCCTATCCAACATGGTACCCAGCCAACTTTATTTTTTTTCTCTCTCTTTCTAAAACAAAAACAAAAACCACACAAACAAACAAACAAAAAAAAATCATCGCAGCATTTTTAATGGAAACTTAAGAGAACTCAAATATTTTCCAAACACATGAGTCCCTTTGAAAGCACAGGAGATTAAAGAGCCCCTTAGTGGGCTAAGTCTAACTTCCAGCACCTAAATGAGAAATAATTTGCAAACACAAAAAGACAGGACACTATTAAGCACAAACTAGTTTTGGTGGTCATTTGTGTATTTTGGAGGATATTTGCTTGTTGAGTTGGGCCTCCTACAGCACAGGCTGGCCTTGAACTCAGTATGTAGCTGAGAATAATCTTGAACTTCTGATTCTCCTACCTCTCCACCTGCAAAGTGCTGGGATTACAGGTATGTGCCAATATGCTCAGCTTTGTATATTTTAAAGAGCAATTCGTTTGGGTTGCAACATCAATTAAACATATGTGTCGCTGTAATTATCTGCTTGCATTAAGAGAGACAGTTTGAGGAAATCTGAGACACCAAATCTCACTGAAAGAGAAACAGGCCTCATTTTTAAAATTATAAAATCTTTTAACAATATATAGTGTGCGTCTTTAGATAGAGGTAAGTCTTTTAGATAAGGGTTGATGCGTACCTCATATGTGTGCGTGTCTGTGTACCATTTGCTTGCCTGGTGCTGGAGGAAAGAAGAGGGCGTTGGGTCTGGAATGACAGAATGGTTGTGAGCTGGCTGCCATGAGGGTGCAAGGAATCAAACCCAGGTCCCTTGCACAAGCAGCTGATGCTCTTAATTGCTAAGCCATTTCTCTAGCTCCTTGAATTTATTAAAGTGCAACACAAATTCAATAGGGTATATAAACCGTAGGGTAAGATTACCAACATTTACAAAGGGGCATGCTCTTCTAAATCAACTAGATTAAGACACCCACCTCTACCCTCAGGGATAACCAAAATTTGAACTTTTATGTTATGCTAGGTTTGCTTTGTTTTGTACTATTTAAAAAAAAAATAGATTACAAGCTGGGTGTGGTGGCACATGCCTATAATCCCAGAACTTGGGAGACAGAGGCTGGCAGATCTCTCAGTTCGAGGCCAGCCTGGTCTACAAAGCGAGTCCAGGACAGCCAGAGCTACATACAGAAACCCTATCACAAAACACCTCCTCCAAAAAAAAGTTTATAGATTTTTTTTCTCTCAGAAATTGTTTTACCTCTGATATTACAGTATTAAAGTAACAGGAGGCTAGAAAGAAAGTGCTGGCTGCTCTTCCAAAGGACCCACACGGCAGCTTAAAACCATCTCTGCCTCTACTTCCCAAGTGTCTGAATTACACTATACCTAGTGTGGTTTTGTTTTAATGGAGATTTCTCGGTGATTTTTCTTCCAGTAGCTCCATTTACCACTTAAAGGTTACTGTCTATAAGCAGCAAATGAATGCCAGTATAGTACAGGCAGAAATGAAGGTAAATACAGAAACCTTACTGATGAAAAACCAGCATCCAAACGAAGCTGATCAACTTCAGGGTTCTGTGACTTGAACAGACACGATTCTTTTCTTTTATTCAGGATGCACTTTGCAAGCTTCGACAATGAGGTTGCAAGAAACTAGAGAAGAGGAAGCGTAACCAAGCTTGCAAAAGCATGCTGTCACCAGCTTCTGCAAGCTCCTGTTGTTCTTCACTTCTCAGGCGTGGCCAGAAACGTGTGACATTAACTTGCCTGCCTCATTCACCTAGTGAACAGCACCTGGGTCAGGAAAGTTGAAGCCTAGCAATCAACCCGAAGAGGCTAATGAATTATCAAATGCCAGACTGGGAAGGAAAAGAAATAATTATATGGTCTATATAATAACTACAGAGACTGCCAAGCTCAAAGGGGAAAAAAAAGCCTGGGTGATTGGAACATAGGAACTGTTTTCCTACACTGTTTTAGAGAGTGATGCATTATAGTGAGAGTTTTGGTTTCTTTTTTAAAAATTATTTATTTTTATTTTATGTACTTTGGGGTTTTGACTGCACGTATGTCTGTGTGAGGGCATCGGATCCCTTGGAACAGGAGTTACAGAGAGTCGTGAGCTGCCGTGTGGGTCCTGGGAATTGAACCTGGGTCCTGTGCAAGAGCATTCCGTGCCCTTGACCACTAAACCATCTCTCCAGCCTAAGTTTTGGTGTCTTTGAAAACGTCATTATGCTATGTAAACATGTTTTTGTTTTAATCCCTGGTGTGGGATATGGAGACCCTTTGCCTCATGTCGGCTCTGAGATGGGTGTGGTCTTTGCCAGCTGCAGATAGTTTAATTCTGGGGACTCTGAGATGGAATAAAGGCCAGGGCCCCAGGGGAGGGGGGAATCGGAGGAGGAGGAAGAAGGCGGCGGCGGCTGCTTCTCCCCCACTGCTCATGGTTGCTGTCGTGGCAATTTGATGAGAAGTTGGGGATATCCTGAACTGAAGACTGGACTTGTCCCAAGAGAACTCAACAACCCTAACCAGCAGGAAATAGCTAAAGAGAACTATGTCCTTTCTCCCCACTAACCTCCTTTCTCTCGTACGATGTTGGGGTATTGAAAAGGGCTGGGGTGGAGAAGGGAGGTAGAGGAATAAGGAATCCAATAAAATAGATTTTTAAAAAGCACGCCAACAAGGCATGTTTGTCCAAGATTTTCTCCATCAGTTATCACCTGAAACCACAGCAGTCACCTGACAAAAGGGGGCCTTGCCGAGTAGAATTCAAAGGTATCTCCACCTTTAGATTGTGTGGGCACTGTTCTCTGGCCTTTCTATCTCTCTCCCCATTTTCTTCCAATATAATCAGAGGTAGCCAAACAAGGTCAATCAATAAAGTGAGCTCCTATCATAGCTTCTCGTGTAAGTGAGGCTAGTCTGCCCCAAAGCACTTAGTCTGGATGGGGCTCAGTTGGGAGAGTACTTGTTATACACAGCGCCCTGAGTTCAATTCCCAGCACAAATATACTGGTGGTTCGTGCCTTGGCAATACAGAGTTCAAGGCCAACCTGGGCTACACGAGACCTGTCTCAAAAAAAAAAAAAAAAATTGGGATTGCTAATAAACTTCAAACGGAGTTCTGGATTTTATATATTTAATGCATAAATGAAACACATGGTGATTTTCACAGTAATCATGTGATAAATTACAGAAAACAGTCATGGCAAAAAGAATCTGCCTTTTGATCTTTCTTGTTCTCTCTTTCCACTTCACTTGGATTTACTCTGGAAACTTTTCTGCTCTCTTTAGCTTACTATTCTCTAATGTTAGCAACTTCAAATGTCAGATGCGTGCTTTCAAACCTGTAAGTCCCTCTTTCAGGTCGCTTCGGCTGTACCCCCACAGTTTTCAAATATACTGTTCGTTTATCATTATTCAGTTTTCAGTCATTTAGAAATTTCTGGTGATTTCCTTCCCCTTCAACTCATGAAGCGTTTACTGCAACTAGGTTTTCCTACTTTAAAATAGACGAATGCTCAAGAGCTGTACAAATGTGGTTTAAAGAGAAACAGTCCTTTGAAACTTGAAGAAATGTTTGCCTCATTTCCCATTCTTTTGAGGCATTCACTCTTATATCACTTCAGTAGTTTCTTCTTTTTGGAAACCACTATCTCTCTAAATAAAACATTTTTTATTATGACATTTGGGTTTTTTTTTTCCCGGCTTAGGCATCATCCACTGACCACCTACCAAAAACGAAGACTTAGCTTTCCCATGTCACCAGCCACCGTCTGTTCCCTGGCCCATCCTCGCTGTTCCAATCACTCCCACCCAACTCCAAGAGTTACAGGAGAAGTTTGAGAAATTTGCATTAAACCGGTGGGCACTCATTCTTAGGATTCTGTGCATCATTTCTGCATCCTAACCTTTATACTATACAATCACTGCTTTTCTGTTCTTGCTCTTCTGGTTCACAACAGAAACGGTGAGATTGCTGGTTCGGGTGGTGAAACCTTTCTGATCTAATATGCAACTTAGAAACGTACAATATAGTTATTGGTGCTGGTTAGTGTTCTTCCCGTTTGATATGTGCTAGTGTCATCTGGGAAAGGGGAACCTCAGTTTTAAAAAATGCCACCGTCAGGCTAGCTTATAGGCCTGTCCGTGGGGCATTTTCTTGATGAATGATTCATGGGAGAGGGCCCAGCCCACTGTGGGTGGTGCCACCCCTGGGCAGGTTAGCCTGGATTGTGTAAGAAAACAAGCTGAGCAAGCCATGGAGAGCAAACCAGTAAGCCATATTACTACCTTCCCTGTTTCAGTTCTTGCCTTGAGGTCCTTTCCCTGAGTTCATGCCCTGATTTCAACTCATGGTGCAGTGTAAGCTGCAAGTTGAAATACACCTGCTCCCCCCCCAAAGCTGCTTTTGGTCATGGTGTTTATACAGCAATAGAAAAGAAACCAGGATAGCATTTTTGTGTTATATAGTATATTTGTATTATAATCACCATCTTTCTGTGCATTACAGCGCTGAAGCATGCTCCAGGAGTGCTACTTCTAGAGATACACCTAAAGGTTTATTTTTTTTTTTAAATTTTGTGCATGTGTCTGCGCCTGCATGAGTGAGTGTATTCAAACGTGTAACACACGTGCGCAGGTGCCTAAAAAAGCCGGAACAGAATGTAGGATCATCTGGAACTAGAGTTATAGACGGTTGTGAGTGGCCTAATGTGAGCGCTGGGAGAACTGAACCCAGTCTCTGCAGAAGCAGCAAATGCTTCTAAGCACTGAAGCATCTCTCTAGGCCCCTGGGTATATAGCTAAAGGAAGTAGAAATCAGTATGCTAAAGAAATCTACTATATTCCCACGGTCATTGCAGCACCAGTTACGATAGCAGAGACATGAAAGCAAACAAAATGTCTTTTAAAAAAAATGGATAAAGAAAACACCCTAGCGGGGTTGAGGATTTAGCTCAGTGGTAGAGCACTTGCCTAGCAAGCACAAGGCCATGGGTTCGGTCCTCAGCTCAAGAAAAAAAAAAAAAAAAAGACAAACAAACAAACAAACAAACAAACACCCTAGGGCTGGTGGTATAGGACTTGCCCAGCATATAAGCTGTCCTAGGTTCTATTCTAGTACCAAGGAGAGAAAGAGAAAGGGGGAGGGGTTGTAGCATACACACACAACAAAAATGCCATTTAGCCTTCAAATGGCCCTAGGGCTGGGGGAGCACTTATGTTTTGTGACAACATGGTTAAGTCAGAACATTGTGCTAATTGAAATAATAATGGTGCTGAACAAATAACGAGCTCGCTGATGTATAGGATCTAAGGAAGCTGATTTCCTAGAAGTCGGGGGCAGGATGATTGTTGTCAGGACTGGGTGGGAAGTGGACGGGGAAAGGGTATGTTGACCCAAGTTACCTGGGCTTTTGATATCTCTGAGACACGGTCTCATGCTACCCATACTTGCCTCAAACTCACTATGTAGCCCAGGCTGGCCTCAAATTTGCAGCACTCCTCCTGCCTCAGCTGCCCAAGTGCTATGATCATACAGACACTGGTTCTTTACTTTGTTCGGATTTGCCATGTGGTCTAGTTCATGGCCTTATTTGAGTGCATGTGTGTGTGCATGTGTGTGTGCGTGTGTGTGTATGTAGCTGGGAACTGGACCCAGGGCTTCCTTCATGCATGCTAGGTAAGTACTCCATGACTGAGCTCTGAATACATTTCCAGCCCACCTAGTTTCCTGGTTTCTGTAAGCACAGCACATGTACTTGGAAATAGGATCACAGCAGGGTCTGAAATTTTCTTTCTCAAAGTGAGCATCGCACAGGTCAGTCTTACAATATAACGCAATTGGAAATTAAAATGGTAATCACTGAAAAAGAACTCATTCATTTGGCAATGCAAAAAGATTTGTAAGTAACAAATGAGTTAAAGAAAGAATCACAGTCTACATTATAAATTAAAACATAAAACAAAAATACCACCCATCAAAAATATCTTAGCAATGGCATAGTGATACAAAAGCAACGGGAGGCAATATCTCTTATCTTAGACCTCTCCTCCACTGAGCATGGCCACATTCCAGTAAACTTACAACCACCATGTAATTTTTCATAAAAAATTACTTTCAAAAGAACTTCCAAAGAAATGGTTTTAGAGGAGTTGTATTTTAAAAAAGAGGTGTTTTGACTATAATTCATTTTTAAATAAGAAAACAAACAAGACACTGAAAACAGTTCAAAGACACAGAGACTGAAATTACATGCGCACACATGCGTTCCATGGAGATACTGGAATAAGACTGCATAAGTAATAGTCAAGAGAATAAGACTAATCTTGGGAGCGGTTCATACTGTCAGAAAGAGATAGTGTGCATTCATGTCAGCTGACAGAGGAAGTTCCCAACGCACCCCGTTTACATAAGAAATACTAAAAAAAAAAAAAAAAAAAGAAAAAAGAAATACTCACATTCTCCAAAGGGTAGGAGATGACACTGCCAGTGGGGAGAGCCAGTTTGTCCACTCCCTTCACCATCACCATAATGGTAGCCCGTGGCCGGTGGAACAGGTTACCCACGGCAAGCCCTGGCCAAGATAGGTCCTAAATGTTGAAATGGACAAAACAGTGCTTACTTCTCAAATATGGAAACTGTCTCTCCAGTGACGTCTAATAACCAGAGTGAAGGAAAGTTCTGGGATGACACTGGCCAGGAACACTCAAAGGTGAAGCAGGCATCATGTTTAAGCAACAGCTACAATTTCCTAGCAGGGCCATGGGTGCCTGCCTTCTTCGCGTGCTTAAAAGCATACTCGTCAGAAAGGTCGCTCACAACTTTTGTCTAAAGAAGCGAGTGGGTAAACAAAACCCAAGTGCATTTTTCCAGACTGTGAACTAGTATTCTGTTCCACGGTATCATTTTTTCCTTTATGTACAACATCACTTTTACATTGCAGTGACAGCAAGAAGTGTTAAAATGTTCTCTCTCGACTATATATAAAAATTATATATATATATATATATATATATATATATATATATATATAAAGTTCCTTTAACAGTGACTCGTGATGCCTTACTACTAATTATTTCTGAGACTGGATACAAATTTAATCCTTCAGTGTAAACAATCAATCACGCTCACTTTGGTTGTCCAAAGAAACTGGGGCTTGACGGCCAGTAGTGCCCAAGCATAGCTGTAGGTTTTCCAAGGGCTTGGAGTCTAGAAATGACTGATGTTATCAGCCCGGCAACTTATCAAGTGGCAAGGGAGTGTAACAGCAAGACAGAGCAAGTGGCATCCCCTCCTCCTAAGCGCTGATGTTCAGGCCTCCTGGACTGAATGGATCCAGGCCCCTAGACTATAGCTCTGTTGGTAGCTAGGGACAGCCACTGGCTGCATTATTTAATTTCAGATAAGACATGTAGGCATTTTAGCATTTGTAGCGAATTAACTGCACTGCCAAAAAAAAAAAAAGCCTATTAATAGCAGCACACCTGTATTATGTAAATTACATGCTAATTTAAAATAAAAATATACTTAAAATACTAGATAAATGCATCTCCACACACGTACAGGTTCTCATGATGATGAACACAAAGCGATATTGATAATAATATATGAAGACTTGGGTTCAGAAGCATTTGCCTAAGATTACCCCAAATACCAACGAGCCTTTAACGTTTTGTAATCTGCGGCAAATGTACCTGTGTCTGTTTGCTCTCTGATTACAGAAAGAAATCAATAAAAAAGTGTCTTGGAAGCAGTTACAACAATTTGCTTTTAAGGAGACATACTTCCTTTACAGAGAAGCCCATGGACAGTGCAGCCACATCTGGTATTCGATCTCCGGGTATAGGCCAATTTCCATTTCGGAAAACAACAGACCCTGGTGATCTTAATATGCTAAATTCATTCCCTAAAGCACCTGAGGAGAAAACAGATTTGTAAATGAATTATCATCATTAGAAATCTTTTGCATCCACTTTGAAGTTTATTAAACATAATACATTCTCCCCCCCCCCCCCCCATTCTTCACTGGCTAAACATGCTTAAATTATGTTTGGATAAAATACTAAATCGGAAGTATGAAGAAATCTGGGGTAGGATTCTAGGGATGGGACCCAAATCTTCATGGTATAGGCACACATGCTACTACAGATTTGAAACAGCCAAGTCCCAGATTGGAGCTCAAGTACATCAACGATTTTCCCCCTAAAGCATCCGTTTCAGAATCTGAGTATTATACACTGTCCTGGAACGGGGTACACATGTAAATATGCAAGCAGATTTTTATTTTTAAAATTTTAAATTAGCAAATATTAACTATGCATAATGAGTTTCATTACGGTATTTTTATAGACGTATAATGGATTTTGATCATATTTACCCATTATCCCCTCTTGCCTCCCCTATTCCCACTGACCCCCTTCCTTCTTCTTCCTAACTAGTCTATTTTCGTGTCTTTTCAGGGAGGGAACAAGGGTTTCATAAGGTCTGCACAGAGAGGCACGGGTAAAAGATTACTTACAGGTGTATGGGCTCTTAACCAAGAGCCCATATACCAAGAAAATTCCTTCCCTTCTCTCCCCTTCCGCAACCATTAACTGCCTATAGCTCCACAGGGATGGGTGGGGCCTCATAAGATGCTCCTCAACCCCCAAGATATTGCTAACTGTCCACAAATCCTCAGGGAGGGGTGAGGCTTCGTGAGCCCTCCACAGTACATGGTAGGGCCTGTTCTTTTGCATCTGATTACAGGTGGTGTGGGTTCAAGAGTGCCATGACCATGACATGCCTGCAAGACAGTATTCTACAGCAGCCCTTCTGCTGTGACATTATTTTTGTGTATTTGTTTGTATTACACATATGAGCATTTGCTTACATGTACGTATGTATGTCTGTGCACCATGTTTGTGTGTCGTGCCCTCAGAAACCAATGGAGGGTATCAGATACCCCAGAACTGGAGTTTCAGATGGCCGTGAGATGTGGGTGCTGGGAATTGATCCCAGGTCCTCTGGAAAAGCAGTCACTGCTGAGCTTCTCTGTAGCCCCAGGCTCAGACACACTTTCTGCCCACTCTTCCGGAATGTTCCCTGAGCACTGGAGGACGGAAACAGGGTTTTTCTAGCGCTGTAGACACCCGCCTACATGACAGTTTAGCAAGAATTAGACACCAGTGGTCGTTCTCTGGAATTTAAAAAGCAAGAACTAAAGCCCTGATACTAAAAAAAAAAAAAAAAAAAAAAAAAAAAAGGGAGAAAACCTGATATCTTTGAAGGCAGATCAGGTGACTTCTGAGTAGGGGGCTCTTCCCACTCTATGTGTTTGGCACAGAGAATGCTGTGTGACAACATGGGAGTGCTGGGGCTGAGGCTGGGGTTGCACACAGTAAGAAACAAGAAGTCAAGTGAGCCAGGAATGGTGGCTCATGCCTTTAATTCCAGAACTCTGGAGGCAGAGGTAGGTGGATGTCTGAGTCCGAAGCCGATCTGGTCTACAGAGTTCCAGGACAACCACACAGAGAAACCCTGTCTTAAAAAAAAAAAAAAAAGGCCAAGTGGAGAACAACTTGGAGGAATGAGTGTGTTTTGTGTCAAGGATACCTCGTGCCTGTGCTGCATAAGGTGCCGGGAGGTCCTACTTTTGGAATGGCAGTTGAAGTAAAAAAGACCAGTGATGTTTTTGAAAACCAAAGTTCTTCTCTGCCCCTGGAGGTATCCAGCATTCTGTGTTAATGGTTACAGTTACTTTCAGGCCTCCTAAATGTTAGGGTCTTTTTCATTTCTGTTGTTGGCTCTGGAAAGGCCATTTTGACTTCTTTACCAAGATACTTTGGGGTTTTTTTTGAGGTACTTGGTAAGTGCTTGCCACATTGAAGCGCAGCTCCCATGTAAAAAAAAACTGGGTATAGTGGTGCGTGCTTAATGATCTTAGGGGTGGGGAGGTAGAGACAGGTAGATCAGAAGAGGGTCTGTGCCAGCCACTGTAGCCTAATGGATGAGCTTCATGGCCCAATGAGAGACCCTGTCTGAAAAAACAAACAAACAAACAAAAGAAACAAGGTAGACAGTTCCTGAGGAAAGACACCGGCGTTGATCTCAGATCTATATGCTTGCATATACATACACACTTGCATATGCGCATATGTACACACACACATACACACGTATATACTTTGAGAGAATTCTTTTATTTTGATTCCGTCTTCAAAGTTAAAAAAAAAAATCTTTTCCATTGGCACTTGTTTAGCTGGACATCTGTTGAAATTCTGTTTTAAGCTCATGCCTGACATCTTTTGAAGTCCTAACTGGCCCTGAACTCAGACATCCGCCTGCCTCTGCCTTCTGAATACCACAGTGTTCAGTTCTATGACATTTTGAGTCAGTGAGGTTTTAGGTGTCCTGCTTGGGTTTTGTCTGAGGTAAAATAATTGCTTCTCTCCCTGGTTTGGACATGCTGTCCTTGCTAAAATAGTCTAGTTCATAGGACAGTTTGAGCTTCTGTGTTGCCGGCTCCTGTCAGGTGAGGAGGGTACAGTGTGATTTTCCACAGTGACTAAGTGTGATTTAGTGGAAAACATCTGTAAGAGCTCTTTTCGCTGTTCACTTTAAAACAGTGTTAGGGAAGTAGAGAGACTCGGGGAGCTTGGGCCATGTGTACTGTGTCCTGAGGCGTGTCTGAAAAAGCTCAGATAGTTAGCCTTAGAGAAGAAGGGCCAAGAGCTGACACATGGAATTTGTAGAGATGCGATGTAAAGGAGGGAGTTGATTTTGGAAACTGATGGCCTCGAGGAGGACATACATCATCGAGAAGTAGCCCCCATATCTCTCTCTCTCTCTCTCTCTAAGTTTATTGCTTCCACTCACCATTCACAGATACTCACTGCAGGAGACAGTGGAGTTGGCCAAGAAAGGCATACTGACTCCCAGACACAGACTGGAAAGGCTCAAGGAACTTTCCAAAGGGGAAGTGCCTCCCAAGCAAAATTTGTGAAAGGCTGAGGTGAGGAGAAGAATTTAGGTGGGGCCTTGCGTGCCTGTGAGCACAGAGATAATGAGCACTAAAGAGCGGAGGGTTTGTCAAAAGCTCAGAAATCAGGTTGCTGCTGTGTCCAGGGGACATTTCAGTCCTCTCTACAAGACTCAAGGCAGTGAGCACAGGCCTTTAAGCAGAGGGGTAAATAAACAGATTGGTATTTTGAAAACACGAAGAGAAAACTGGGATCTGAGGGTCATGGGCAGCCAGCCATAGCAAACCTGGCGAGGGGCGGGTGTGGCGGTGGAGCGTGGAGGAGGATTCAGCAAAGAATAAGGAAAAAGAGCAGCTCAAAGCAGTGGATGATGAGCCCTGGCGATGCAGAAGGGGTTAAAGGGGAATCATTCGGGCAGCTGAGTGGAAGAGGGAGGGCAGAAGTTGGTGGAGAGCTGGAGAATCCGGGTTCAAACCAACTGTTAAGTTTAAGGGGTCAGTGAGACTTACAAGGAAACGTCACTGTTGAGGGTGTAGGCCAAAGACTGAGGGAGAGCTAGACTGGGAATAAAAGTCTGGGGGCTGGCAGTGTGTTGGGGTTCACTACCTGAGGGGTAGATGGGCCCAGTCAGAGAGCAGGAAGTAGAATTAAAGTCCTCTGATCTTTCAAGTATGAGTCAGTTGAGTACTGGAAATATATACAACAATTTCCACTTGTCTTTTTTTTTTTAATCCTTTTATTTTAAATAGGAGTGGTCAGATGTTTTCAACTTGGGTTTGTAGCATGATTACATTGGGAAGGAACACTATAGAGGTTAAAATGCTTCACATGTGTTTTATAATACAGTACAGGTTTGTGATCAATTATTGTACACATGTATACCATATGTATTCTAGAGACAGGTAGGTATGTGGGGTACTTTCCATTTTTATGTTGAAAGAGCTAATCTCCGAAGTCTAGCACCATGGCTTTAAAGGATGAACAGGAGAGTAGAGCAGTAGTCAAAAGGATTGGAAAGAACACCGGAGGGGGGGGTAGGGGGGCTTTGTCTTCACAAAGATTTCAAAGAGGGACTTGCCAGTGTCCGATGGGGGGGGGGAATGAGGTAATTAAGGGTGGAGAATTGTGTTTTGGGGGTTGGTGCACTGTTTCAGTGGTATGGGCAGAGACTGGAGTCCAAAGCAGGCAGCATGAGGTGAAGGAAAAAAAAACAAAACACAAAGGAGCGGACTGTACAGTTCTAGGGTTCTCCTGAAGGGAAGCATAATTTAATTTCGAGGTGGCTTTTGTTTTGGCGAGACACTGGTAGGGGTTTTGGTGGTGCTAAGTTTAGAAGGGCAGCACACAGGACTCGGTTTTGTGCCAACGAGAGGGGGGAGGTTGGTAGGTTCAGGGGTGACTTAGCAAACAGTTGTATGTTGGGTACTGTTCTCAGCCCTGGGAATGTGCAAACAAGAGACACTCCAATCCATGCATTCGAGTAACTTAGATTCTGCTGGGACATGTTTTCATGCCTACCTCCATATAGTCACTTATCTCTTGCTATGTCATGTATCACAAAACTGGATTAATAAATGTACTAAGTGAATAATTTCCTCTATGGATGAACTAAAAAGTCTAAGGAATCCGAACAGAAGATTTTGTTAGACTGGATACTCCTCTCTCATGACTAGTGGGCGAAGACACACGGCTAGGTTTCTTTTGGTGAGGAGAGCAAGCAAGCAGGCGGCCTAGCATCCATAGGCTTTCTTTGTGAAGCTGGGGCCGAGGTACCTGGAGACTGACTGGAGGGATGGAAGCCTAGGAAGCTGGAGGTTAGGAAGCCTATTTCAACTCAGGACGAGGAAAAGTTTTTCAAACAGCTAGAATGCTGGGACCATGGAGCTGACCTCTGGCAAACAGTGTTTGTAAATTGAGGTAGCGTTCCCCAATCACTGGTAGCATTCGAGTAAAGGACAGTTGGCTTTCTGCCATGCATCCGCGAGATGTGATACCTATAATGTGCTGAAGCTTGGACAAGGCCACCCTTCTTAGGAGCCTTACTCATGGCCACTAAAGGAGTGCTGTGCAGCTGTGGTCAGATGTAACGACAAAGACAAGGCAGTTACATCATGCCACCTCATGGGGGTTGAAGGCCTGGGCTCATCTCAGAACAAAGCTATCTCCACGTCCAGATCGGTCCTAAAATGTGTGCTACCAAGGTACCCGAGGTGTTACAGTTTGAATTTTGCCCTGAAGGTTCTGTGCAGCTCTACTACTGGGTAATCAACCAAGATGTCTGTTGGTTACAGATGACCATTCCAATCTGCTAATTTTTTTTTTTTCATTTGCCTTCAGCTAAACGTTTAGAAACTCTTGCCCTGGCCCTGGGCTGCATTGAAACTTCTAACTGGTCCTACTGTATTTGTACCAGCCTGAAGCCTTTTATGTACTGATACCAGTACTGCAAAACCAAAACCCTGCCTGTTGTGGCTTCCTGCTTCATTCACATAGCATGGGCTTAAGCATTTCTTTCTTGAGATCAAGGGAATAACACTGATACCTTCCCAAAGCCTCATTTTCCCATAGGAGGCCTGGCCAAGATTGGTTTTAAACTTGGAACTAATTTTTCCACAGAAACCCAAAAGTTTCTATTAGCTACTTGTTGTTCTCGGGGTATACCTTGGGGGGCGGTGTGCTTGCGTTAGCATTCTTCAAGCCTTGGAGACCATCCCTGGCACCACAAAGACAGAACAGAGCACTCAGACATTGGCGAGTGGGCCAGATCCTCCATCCTTCGGGGAGGAGGTCTTTAAATCAGTCCCCTTTCTCCTTCCCCATCACTTTTTAGCAGTAGACACCATCCTCTTTTATTAGTTAGTGATTACAGGGGACATTTTCTCGCCTTCCTGCCATGCCACCTGAAAACACTGTTCCCGGACTCTGTTTTCTAAAGACTGAGGCGGTTTATATACCACCTGGTAACACCAGCACGCACGTGGATGGACACACACACCCTCAGAAGTCTCCATTTCACTAAGTTTCCCGCGAGGAGGAAGCAGAAGGAAACACACCGTATCCTAAGATGTCGATGTCTACTAACCTGTAAAGATGTACAGGCCTGACAGCCGTATAGTGAAATAGGAAACGTCATACTTTTGATAGGAAGGTCAGACATCTGTAAATTATAGAGATGTCTGGGGGCAGAACAGAAGTTCAACCGGTGAAGACATTCTCCCTGCGATATATGCTACGCCTTTTTCCTCACCTGGATCTTTTTACATCCTTCACTTTTGTATATTAAAATTATATTCTTCTTTCAAGAGTACCTCTCACACAGCACAGGCACGAGGTATCCTTGACACAAAACACACTCATTCCTCCAAGTTGTTCTCCACTTGGCCTTTTTTTTTTTTTTTTAAGACAGGGTTTCTCTGTGTGGTTGTCCTGGAACTCTGTAGACCAGATCGGCTTCGGACTCAGACATCCACCTACCTCTGCCTCCAGAGTTCTGGAATTAAAGGCATGAGCCACCATTCCTGGCTCACTTGACTTCTTGTTTCTTACTGTGTGCAACCCCAGCCTCAGCCCCAGCACTCCCATGTTGTCACACAGCATTCTCTGTGCCAAACACATAGAGTGGGAAGAGCCCCCTACTCAGAAGTCACCTGATCTGCCTTCAAATCAAGCTTTGATACATACTACTCCTGGCATGCCGGCTTGATTTGTCATTCCGCAAAACAAGGATCTATGGATTACTGTAAGATGAAAAGCATTACCACATGATACGCAAGCCACAGGCCACCTATGAACTCATTTCCACTCTTCTTATTCCATGTGAGAGAACCTGGGTTCCCCTAAGAAAGCTACCATTTTACTTGACATGTGACCCTAAAAGCATGACTCACACCCTAGTCTCCAAATCCTTCACATTGGGAACTGAGATCAATACTGAGAGATTACGTTCATCTACCGAAATAATCATTATAAAAAGCAAAGGCTCAACTTTGCATCCTGAAACGGATATATACGATGGAGGCAAACATGAGGGAGGCAAGGTGTCCATCCGTTGTTATTAACAACCATTTGAAACGGTAGAGGGGGGAAAAAAAAAAAAAGGACAGCAGCCGGCGGCGGCTAACATTGGCCAATGTTCCCTTCTTGGTAGTGGGTTGCGGTTCAACCGGTATTGAGAAACGAAAACCCGTCCTCCGAAGGGCCTCGAACAGGGAAGGAATGATCCGGCAAACGGGAGGACATGGTCCCAAGCAGCGAAGGGCTTCTCCCCCCCCCCTCCCCGCCCGAAAGGCTGCTGTCCACTCCGGAGTCCCCCAGGTGGCCCTGGCCGGCTCCGGAGACCACAAGGCCGCTCCGCCTGGACCAGAGCCCCGAAGAGGGCCGCCAAACCCAGGCCGCCCCCACTGCGGCTCCCGCCGGCAGCCCCGCCCGCCCAGGGTCCCCGCACCCCCCGGCCTCCCGCAGTGCCCCCCCGGCTGCTCACCCGCCACCAACAACGACAGGAGAGCGACCGGCACAGCCATGACGCCGCGGCTGCCGAAGGGAAGATGGGCCGCACGAAGACGGACGCCGCTGGGACCCCAAGGAGCACCGCAGCCCGACAGAGTGACGCGCTCCGGGAGGCTCTGATCCCCCCCCAGGCCCCTCCCTTTTAGCCGCTCGGCCAATCGCCAACGACGCCGCCACACAGGAGAGACGTAGCTGGGGAAGCGTTCACGATTGGGGCAGGGCCTTGCGTGATGGGTGGGGCGTTCTGCCAATAGGAATCAAGGGTTTTAACATCGGGGCGGGCCCTGCCCGCAGGCCCACAATGATCGGTCACGAGGTGAAGGGTAGGGCCGGCGGTGAAAGCAGGTGGCCCCATCGCTGGCTGGTTCTTGAAAGACCACAGTGAGGCTGACTCCCGGGTGTGGACCTCTTTGTCCGGCCTACGGTGACCATCTTCAAGGCTTGTGTCTGTCGTTTCCCGTCTGCGCCTCCGCCCTCTGCGAATGACAGCTGCGGAGAGCGCCTGGCTAGCTCGGATTTTGCTCTAGGGAGTACACAGAGGTTGAGCACCTGCGGAGACGGATCCGGGCGCCTAGGGGAAGCCCTGAGGTGCTACGTAAATGTCCCGCCTGGATGTAAATTGTAGTTGAAGAGTAATTTTTAGTAATATATATATATGTATACACACACACACACACACACACACACACACACACACACACACATATATATATATGACCTACGGTGACGATGAAGTATCCATTGTCCATTTGTCTGAAAGTCAAATATAACTGTTTTTTTTTTTAATTTTTTAAAATTTTTTTATTTTATTTGCTGTATCGAACAACCCTGCTTCCCAACGCTGCGATCTACAAGGAGTGATCCGACAGAATATCGTTTACTTCATCTCTTCCTCCCTTGGTTTCTAACCTGTGCAAGGTGCTCAGGGGAGGCCATATAAGGGCTAGACATACTAATTAGAGCAAGATCATCCCTTCCCACACCCCATAGGCTTTTTTTTTTTAATCTATGATGTAAGGCAAGAAGTGACACTGTCCATCATGTGTGGTTAGAAAACATTACCCCAGCTGATGACCTTGAAGGAGGAATATGATTTTAATATACAATGAGAGGATTTGAAAAGATCCAGGTGAGGAAAAAGTGTAGCATGTATGGCAAGGAGACTGCTTTCTCTGGTTGAACTTTTAACTGTTTAGTTTGACAAAAGAGATCTTATAGGGTAGAAGGACAGAGTTAAATGTTTTGTTTCTTTTTCTTTCCTTTTTTTTTTTTTTTCTGAGGATGGAACCCCAGAGCTTTGCATGGCTCTACCACTGAGGTATGCCTCAACTAGGAAAAAAAAAATTTTTTTTAAAGATCTTGGCTTGTATGCAGAACTACAATTCAGTACAAATGGGATGTGTTTGGTGCACAGAAGTGAGGTAGGTGCAGTGGAGCGGAAACAGCTCACTGATTCTCAGTTTACAGACTCTGTGTTCTTCTTGGAATTGGTTAAAGGAGAACAAAAAAAGCTGCAGCAGTTCCAGGAGTTCTCTGGGTCAAACTTACCCAGCCCAAGAACTGGAATCGGAAGCACACTCCCCAAATACTCAGAATATGATTTCTAGAAAGCACCATGTTTATCAAAGCCACTCTTGATTTATAATGTAGTCTGGATTTCCTCACTCAATCTCAGGAAGCACTCTCTCTCTCGTCCAATAAAATTTGGATGCCTGTGTCTTTAAAGAATTCTGAAGAGGGGGTTGTTCTTCTATGAAAAATGTAAAATTATTGTATTAGAGCCAACATGTCTAAAGCAAGCAGCTAATTTCAGAAACCTAAAGTGTGACATGACTACCATGCAAATTAAAAAAAAAAATAATTTAAAAATCATTTTTCAAGGGCCAAGCGGTTGGCTCAACTGTTGAAGCCACTAACTGTGCAAGCCTGAAAAACCCAAGTTTGATCTCAAACCAATCTGGATGGTGGTGTGTCCAAGCACTCTGGGGTTGAAATAGGAGGCAGAGACGGGAGAGTCATCTGGAAGTTCCAGAGCCAGCTAGCCGGGAGTACACAGCATAGCATAAAAAGCAAGAGAGACCTTGCCCCAACAAGTTGGAAGACTAGAACCAATGCCTGAAAGTTGTCTTCTAACTTACACACGTGCACACAAACACAAAATAAATAGAAAAATAAAACGTAATTTAACATAAAGTCACTTCTGTGCTTGCCAGCTAAAATTCTACTCTTTGTCTGTTTTCTGCAAGTGGAAGAACAGGTTTGAACTGGTAGCCCTGCAAGAATGTGTCCAAATGAATCTTAGTTAGGGATACAGTCAGGTCAAATGGAATAGAGCTCCCACAAATCTTGCCTAAAGAAGCATATGGCCCTTCCTGCTCTTAAAACAATTCTAGGACATTCTGATTTATTTTAAGTTGAGAAAACGCAAAAATACGATAAGTGGATCAGAATATGAAATAACACTTTCTCAGATGTCAACTTCACTCTCACTCTGTCTTGACAAATACCTTTTTTTTTTTTTTTTGAGGCATTAGTATTCTGCAAGATAGACACTTAACTGGCAAGCCTTCTCTTTGTGATGGAGACGCTGAAACCTAGGAGAGTGCATATGTCCTTACAATGACCCATCAGCAGTTCTGCTTTAAGAACACAGCCCTCCATTGTGTAAATGTACCACATTTTCTGTATCCATTCCTCCACTGAGGGACATCTAGGTTGTTTCCAGATTCTGGCTATTACAAATAAAGCTGCTATGAACATAGTTGAGCAAATGTCCTTGTTTAATGGTGGGGCATCTTTTGGGTATATGGCCAGGAGTGGTATGGCTGGATCTTGAGGAAGTGCTATTCCTAATTGTCTGAGAAAGTGCCAGGTTGATTTCCAAAGTGGCTGTACAAGTTTACATTCCCACCAGCAGTGGAGAAGGGTTCCCCTTTCTCCACATCCTCTCCAGCATGTATAGTCACTTGATTTTTTGATCTTAGCCATTCTGATGGGTGTAAGGTGAAATCTCAGGGTCATTTTCATTTTCATTTCCCTGATGACTAAGGATTTTGAGCATTTCTTTAAATGTTTCTCTGCCATTCGGTATTCCTCTATTGAGAATTCTCTGTTTAGCTAGCTCTGTACCCCATTTTTAAAAATTGGATTACTTGATTTGTTGGTGTTTAACTTCTTCAGTTCTTTATATATTCTGGATATTAGCCCTCTGTCAGATATAGGGCTGGTGAAGATCTAGCCTTTCATAGAGGACCTCTGAAAGACTACCCACCAGGATATTGAAGGAGATACTGAGACTCTGCCCAAACTTTGGGCAGAGTGCTGAAATCCTTATGGAAAAAGAGGGAGATAGAAAGACCTGGAGGGGACAGGAACTGCACAAGGAGAACAACAGAGCCAAAATACCTGGGCCCAGGAGGACCTGCAGAGACCGATACTCCAACCAAGGACCATGCATGGAGAGGACCTAGACCCTCTGTTCAAAGGAAGCCCATTGGCTGCTCAGTTTCCAAGTGGGTTCCTAGTAAGGAGTACAGGGGCTGTCTTGGACATGAACTCAGTGGCTGGCTCTTTGATCACCTCCCCCTGGGGGTGCAGCCTTGCCAGGCCACAGAGGAAGATGATGCAGCCAGTCCTGATGAGACCTGATAGGCTAGAGTCAGATGGAAGGGCAGGAGGACTGCCCCTATCAGGGGACTAGAGAAAGGGCATAAGTGGAGAAGAGTGAGCGTGGGTGGGATTGGGAGGATTAGAGGGAGGGGGCTGCAACGGGAAGAACAACAAAAAAGCGAACACAGCCCCCCCCCTTCCCTGCCCCGGGCTCCATCTTTAGTAAAGAACTGGCAATGTGCAGTTAATGTTTTCACAGAAACACGTAGAGGTGGAAGCAGGACCTTATGTGTAATGCCGACCAAAATAGTGTCTTACAAGAAACCTTCTACCTTATCAATAGTAACACAATCCCTCAGCCAAGGCCAGACTCCAGCCACCCACTGCCCTAAGGGGAGACAGGAAACAAAAGTGCCTTTCAAACTGGGGGCTGGGGGTGGGGCTTAGGACTGGAGCAACGGTTTAGCGGTGAAGAGAGCTTGCCAAGGACCAGAGTTAGTTAGGTTTGGTTTCTAGTACCTACATCAGACTCCAGATTTTCTGGTGCCCTATTTTAGCCTCCGAAGACACCTCCACGCATATGTGATCCTCCCGCATGTGAATACCCAAGCACATGTGAAAAGTACACACGTAAAGACGGCCGTTTAAAAATGATAATCCAGCTGGGCAGTGGTGACAGATGCCTTTAAGTTCGAGGCCAGCCTGGTCTACAAAGGAGTCCAGGACGGCTAGGGCTACACAGAGAAACCCTGTCTCGAAAAACAAACAAAACAAAACAAAACAAAAAAGGTGATAATCCACGCCTGGTTCAGATCCATGGGCTCTACCTCCTGGCCAGCTGTCTTGGATGGCATCCTGTTGCTGTGTCTTTCCTGCCACGATGGATTGAGATCTCTCAGAATTCAGGAGCCCTAGTCAACATTTACTCCCTTAGGTTGGTTCTCTTAGGGATTTGGTCACTGTGATGCACATGGAACTAATATACTCAATAATATATCCAATCCACAGGGAAAATATGGAACAGATTCTTAGAGATGGGCTCTAAAACACTGATCCACTACTCCTTAAAAATGTCAAGACACCAAAAATAAGTAGTAGTAGTAGTAGTAGTAGTAGTAATAATAATAATAATAATAATAATAATAATAATAATAATAATGCAAACGAATAGCTGTCATAGCCAAAAGGAGCCTAAGGAGACATGATGACTAAATGTACTGAGGTATCTTGGATGGGATCATGCAACAGATAAGAGTAGTTTGAATAAGGCAGGGACTTTGGTTAATGATAATGTACCCATACTAGATTATTAATAAATGGGCCATATTAATGCAAATAATAGGAAAGCCTGGCTGTGAGATGTAGAAGGGCTCTCTGTACTGTCTTGTCAAATTCTCTGGAAATGCCGAAGTGTTCCTTAACAAAGAAAGGAGACATTGTAAAGTTAGTAAAAATGTAAGCCCCCACCCCCCCAAAAAGGGAAAAGACGAGTAGTTTCCAGACTACATGAGCACATGTA